GGGGCCCGCCTCCGCGTCACCATGGCAGCGAGAACGCGGCGGCGACGCTGCAGCTGGAGGAGGCCGGGCTCAGACGGGCTGCGGACTGAGTTGCTGACCCAGACCCCCCCCGCCCCCCGTGATTTAAGAGGTGAGTGCTGAAAGGCGGCGGGGAGCTGGGAAGTGTTGTTACTCCCAGCTGAGCGTCCAGGTCAGGCCTGGGAACACGCGGAGGGGCGTGGGAGGGCGAGGAGGAGGAGGCGGAGGCTTCGAGCCCGCCCCGAGCCTTTCGGGTTCTTAGGGTGCCGTTCCGGATTCAGACTCTCAGAACTCGGAGACAAGGGGCCATGCGCTTCCCTTTCTCAACCTGGACACCGTCCTTCCCAAATACAGCGGGCCCTCGGCTTGTCCCTGAGAGCGGCGGTTCCTCAGAGTCCTGAAAAGGGAATCACAGCGCAAAAACGTTGGCAATAATAGCATCAACTTAAGAGGGTGAGAATTTTAAGCACTTGGAATGGTACATAGTAGGTAGTCAAGTGTTGGCTGCCATTAGCACCATTATCACTACTTTCCCCGGCCTGTTCGGCCTGTTCGCTGGCACAGACCTAGTGCAAGTGGATTCAGAAGAGGTGGCTAGAAAACTGCCTCCACTACTAATTGGCAGAGCCTATTTCCTATTAGCTGGAGGTAATAAAATGAACTCTGTTTCCAAGAGTTATTTACTTTTTGTGACGGTCAAATAAGAGGATGTAGGTGATAGCACTTTGTGAACTTAAAGTGCTGTAAAAATTTCTGCCTTAGACTATAAATGCTGCCTTTCTACTTTAATACTGAATTTCTGAGGATGAAGGGAAGTGCGTGTCAGAAGCAGAGCTCCCAGTATTTCTCCTGATTGTCTTCAGAATCTTTTCTATGGTCTTAGACTGATAAATGTGGAGAAGAGGGGGAATGCATCCTTGTTTCACTAATGATAGGGAAGCTTTACTCTTTACTTTATTACTATGAAAACCTAAGTGACTAGTTTGTTTTTTTAAATTATTTTTTATTTTTCACTAGACAACTTATTTATTAGATGTAATAGAAAGTTAACTCTCAGAGAGAGACAGAAAACCTTAAAAATCCAAAAATCTGGAAGATATGTACGTTATCTAATCAACATGATTTATAATTTACCCCAGGCTCAAGCAATCTATCAGCAAACTGGAGATGTACAACTATGTTAGACTTAAAACCAAAAAGTTATGTAGTAACATTTAAAATAACTAAGTGACTAGTTTTAAAAATGCCATTGGGATAGCCCTCCTGTGATAAGATCTTGGGCTGGAGTTCCTGCTAACCAGCATCCTATTTCTGATACTTCTAGATGACTTATGTTAGTAGGTTTGAGACAGGGGCCTGATGCCCCTAAGTTGGTTTAGCTTTTGGAATTTTTTTTCCTATCCTGTATTGTTACACATTTCTTCCTCTTCTTATTTCAAGGTGGCCTTGATCTGGCTCTTCTGGGGACACTGAAGATGGGGTCCCATGTGGTTATGAGACTCTGTAGCTCCCTGCTGCCAGCACAGCCATCTGTAAGTTTCTGGTGTACTGTTTAGAGGAGTGTGAGGACATTAATGGGTTTTCAGTACAGTTCTACAACTGGGGGATTTCTGCATCAGGATTCAGGTCCTGGAACTAAATTGTAATATATTTGCTTTCTATATTTGCCTCCCCTTCTTATGGAAACTCTAGTTCACCTGATTTGTTATCTTTATCTGAAATTAATAAAACCAGGCAGAGGTCGAAAAATTCTAGAAATTAATCAGAATACATGCATTGTTTAAGGTTTAAATAATATTTTAATAAAAGCAAATGTTAATTATAGAGCATTTGAAAAATATTGCAAACCATCATTTAAAAAATGTATAATCCTCCCATCCAGCAGCAATCACTGTTAATATTTTAGAATGTTTTCTTCTAGTCTTTTTTTCTATGTATATTATTTACATATTTGACGTCATATACACACTTTTTGACTTTTGCTTTTTTTTAACTTAATGTTTGTTAATACAAAATCATTAAAATATCTGTTTTTATGTGGGTACAAATGTTTGTTAAACATTATAATGTCTATGCTTTTCTTGTCCTTTTTGCTCTTGTTGAACTTTTAGGTTTCACTCTTCCCACTGTAAATACATAATTGACTTCCTCATGTAAGACTTTTTTTTTCTTAGGGTAGAGTCCCAGAAGTGGAATCCCTAGGTCAAAGGATGTGAACATTTTAAGTAATAAGTTACTTTTTAACAGAAGAATTGTGATGTCAGATTTTATATATATCCTGCAGAAGGCAGAGGGACATTAATTGGGAGATAGAAGGGTCCTTAATCGAAAGCCGGCTACCTCTTGCAATGAGACCTTGGGTCCTGCAGAAAGACTATTTCATGATAGTGTAATTAGCAGTGTGGGGCTCTAACACATTATGAATGGCAGTCCAGAGTCATGGGGGCATTTACAGTGTTTTCATAGTAGAAAAGAGACTCAAGGATCACTTCCAAAATATCCACCAGATGTCGCTCATCTTAATTTAATTTTTACCTGCAGAATAGCTAGCAAAAAACTTTGAAATGCAAATTTTAAAAATGTATGTTGAATATATTTACATATCTGCTTTGGCAGTTTATATTACGCACTAGCATCTGGTGATTACTTTGGCAACATCCTACTCTAGTCTCTCACCATTCAGTCTCTTTTTTCCTTTTTCTGCCCACTCAGTCTGTCACACTCGCTTTGTACACTCTGTCCCCACATAATTAATATTAGTGTCTCAGTTTTACTAGTCTTCATTTTACTATTCTTTCTTTAGTCTTGTTTCTTGCATGTGTGTGTATGTGTGTATGTATTTATGTGTGACTAGGTTCTTGAAGTTTTTGCTAAAAGAATAGGACCTGGCATATAGTAACATATAATAGGTGCTCAATATATAATTAGTGAATGATTAATGAAAGAATACATTGATGGAGAGAGGAAAATATAAAAGGATACCAGAAATTATTATTATTAAATATATTTTTATTGATTTTAGAGAGAGAAAAAGGGGGAGAGAGAGAGAGAGAGAAAGAGAGAAACATCAATGTGAGAGAGAAACATCAATCAGCTGCCTCCTGCATGCATCCTACTGGGGATCCAGCCCACAACCCAGACATGTGCCCTGACTGGAAATCTAACCAGGGATCTTTTGGTGCATGGGGTGATGGTCAACCAACTGAGCTACACCGGCCAGGGCCAGAAATTATTTATATTTGTATTGGA